AAGAGGTTTATTACTGATTAAACATGTGTTTATTTAATAACATGGCGTAGAGATGTCCAATCTGAATGAAACAACTATCAAAAAGTTCGCCTCGATGAGAGAAATCTAATAAGCTAAAAAACGAAAAAATTAGATTACAGGTTATTAAAATCGTTATTTGATGTGGATAATAATAAAAGAGGTTTATTACTGATTAAACATATGTTTATTTAATAACATGGCGTAGAGATGTCCAATCTGGATGAAACAACTATCAAAATGTTCTCCTCAACGAAAGGAATCTAATGAGCTAAAAAATGCAAAAATTGGATTACAGGTTATTAAAATCGCTATTTGATGTGGATAATTATAAAAGAGGTTTATTACTGATTAAACATATATTTATTTAATAACATGGCGTAGAGATATCCAATTTGGATGAAACAACTATCAAAATGTTCGTCTCAATGAGAGGAACCTAATGAGCTAAAAAACGCAAAAATCGGATCACAGGTTATTAAAATCGTTATTTGATGTGGATAATTATAAAAGAGGTTTATTACTGATTAAACATGTGTTTATTTAATAACATGGCGTAGAAATGTCTAATCTGGATAAAACAACTATTAAAATGTTCGTCTCAATGAGAGGAATCTAATGAGTTAAAAAATGCAAAAATCGAATCACAGGTTATTAAAATGCTATTTGATGTGGATAATTATAAAAGAGGTTTATTACTAATTAAACATGTGTTTATTTAATAACATGGTGTAGAGATGTCCAATCTGGATGAAACAACTATCAAAATGTTCGCTTCGATGAGAGGAATCTAATGAGTCAAAAAATGCAAAAATTGGATCACAGGTTATTAAAATCGCTATTTGATATGGATAATTATAAAAGAGGTTTAACAAAGAAATTAAAATTAATTGATTATCATTTTATTAATTAATTAACCAATCAAATTATTAAAATAACTTGGAGCAACCCGGAGCAACCTGGAGCAACCCGGAGTAAAAATTATAAAGTAATCCAGGTTATAATAAATAAATTGCTCTGGGTTAGTACAAAAAATTAGAAATCTTAACCCACTTCATAATGGAGTGATACATAATCCAGGTTGATGCCAAAACATTATGTTCCACTTAACAACCCTACCTACACTTGATAACGATACTAATGATTTTTGAATTCAAAACTTTACAAAGTGAAGTGAAATTTACCTTCAGTTCAACAACAGGATGAATATCAATATCATCTCAGAGATTCTATTTTCCTTCATTAATAGGTTAAGAGAACAGTTTGTTACTTAGATTTTAGAAATTTCATCCACTTTTACCAGTAGCAGGATTGTGGTCATTCACTGTATTTGTCAAAATCTTTTGTCTTTCTTTGTACACATACATGATCAGGTAAAATCTATATTCAGCTTGCTTCATTGGAACAAGTTATTCTAATGATCCAAACAGTTGAATTAGTATATTATGAATTTGTACAAGGTTTGTAATAAAAATATTTACATAATATTCGTGCAGGTTTTATACTTTTGTTTTTTTTTAAAGAAAAAAGAAATGGGTAAATGGGATATTCCATCATACAGTCACCGAATTAAAAATTATAAATAAAATAATTGAAATATGAACTACATAGATGATAGTAAATTTGAAAATATTTGAATTTGTATAAATAATCAAATTATTTGTTTTTATTTTTTTGAATTAATTCTTATTAAATATTGAATAATTATATTATTTTTTTCTTACTTAAAAGCTTAAAATATATTAATTTAAATATACTCTTCTACTAATTACATATACTATAAAGATTCTAAATTAATTAAACAAGAATTGAAAGAATAATAGATGTTAAATTACAAATGTCAAAAAAATTATTATAGAATGTTTAATCTAAAATTTTTACAATACATGTAATATATTTTTAAATAAATTTCTGAACCCAGGATCTATTTTAAGGACACTTTAAAGTTTAATTATTTCTACAGTGCGTATATCCTAGTCTCATTAAATAAATTTTTAGGTGGCCAAAATTCAATTGTAAATCTTTCATCACATGAACAAAAAATCTTGTAATATTATTGGCTTATATTTATATGATATGTCAATATAAAAGAAAAGATTACAAAAATGCTTCATAAAAAAAAAAAAATTTTAATAAAAATTCTTTATAATGATATTATTTGAATTAATTTTCATGGTGATTTTTTGTAATATTCTTGATAATTTTTTATAATACTTTCAATAATTCTCTTCTTTCTTAATAAATTTATTTTAAATATGCCACATCCAACAAAATCAAAAAAAATGATCAATGAAAGCATATGAAGTAAAAGTTGTATGTTATTTTAAATGTATCATTGATAGTATAGATTCCATTAGTGATAATATTGTAGATTATAACAATATTGATGAATTAGAAGATCCTGATATCAATAATACTTTCGATAATTGTTATAATAAGTTAACAGAAAATAATGATGCTGTGAATATTGCAACAAGACTTCAAGAAGTAGCAAAAAAGTATTATGAAAAACATGACTTTCATAAAGTACGTGAATCTTAATACATTGGAAATTCAATCTGTACTAAACGAAGGAAAAATTATTAGCAATGTGAAGTAATAAAAGAAACTTTTACATTACATACCTTTTGAAATACTGAAAAATCTACTAATGAAACTAATAATGATACTGAATTATTAGATAATGAAATTGAAGATTATAATTGAACTAATAAAATTCTGATTGCTCTTGGAAATTTGAAACTGGATATTAAAAAAGAAAAAATAAAAAGTGAAGTTTGAATACATTTAAATGAATCCGTACTTATCTTCAACTTGTAAAATATAATTATTCAAAATTAGATACAAGTAAAGTTGTTTCTAATGCAGCAGGAAAAAGAATATAACATGCTAGATACATTCATTTTTGAACATGTGAATATGTAAAAACTCATCAAATCCCTTATTCTCATCATGAAAATCATGTTAAAACAATAAGTTTTCTTTGGGATGAGGATATTCTTCTTCAAGTTAAATCATATGTTCAGGAGTATAAATAGAATATTACTTTACAAATGCTGATAATACAGATGAATGAGATTATTTTACCAGGATTTGAATTTGTGCCATCTCCAACAATTTATATCAACACTACAAGAAACTATTTGAAAGAGCTTGGATATAAATATAAAAAGGTAAAAAAAGGAACATATATGGATAAGCATGAAAAAGAAAATGTAGTTGCCTATCAAAAATAATTTTAGAATAAATGAGTGAATTTGAATATAGAATACTGATTTTTTCAGAAGATAATTTAGAAAAATAATTTGACCAAATAATAATATATAACTAATTATTTTTGTTACACATGACGAGTGTATTTTCATAGCTTATAATGGAAGTTGAAGTCTTTGAATTTCAAATGGGGAACAACCTTTATGAAAAAAAGGTAATAGCTATTCAATTCATGTTAGTAATTTTTTAACCAAAATTTGTGGACATCTTATACTTCTTGAAGAAATGCAAACATTAAATAATATTCCAAGAGAGATCTGTATTATACATGTTCCCAAAATTGATTTTGAATTTTTGAGGTATTTCAACTTTTTGAGATTTATGCAAAATCTATTCTATATATGGAAGTAAAAAAAGTACCTAGTTATATGTATCTTTAATCAAAGAATAAATCTGGATGGTCAAAAAATTTTGGATTTTAAGTAAAATAATTTCGTCTTCTATGAAAAACTATTTCGACTTTTTTCCCCGAAATTGTAATTTCGGGGCCCCAAAATAATTTTGCGTGCAAGTATAATCTGTATTATTATGTATTTAGGTAAAAACAATGATGGATAGTAGAAAACGGATGATCTAATAAATCAAGTAATTAAATGTGCTATTTCTATATTTGAGATATATTTTTCAGGATGTCAGGTTTTATTTACATTTGACAATGCAACAAGTCATTCAGCATTTTTACCAATTTTTATCAGATACATTTATTGCTAAGTATATGAATCTTGGTTCTAGTAGAAAGTAGCTAAAAATATGTAAAACATATTTTGATAAAGGAATTCCACAAGATATGATCTTTTCATTAGCTATCACATTCCTGAATTACGTGAACAACCAAAGAGATTAAAACAAATTTTAATCGAAAGGAAATTGTAACCAAATAAGAGATTAAAATTGAAAGAAATATGAAGAGTAATGAGTTAGCAACCAGATTTTTTAGTACAGAAAGGACAGTTAGAAGAGATCATTGTTGCAGTTGGATACCAAATTATATTTTACCTCAAGTTTTATTGTGAACTTAATTTCATTAGGAACTTTTAGAGTGCATCCAAGAAATTTAGCTGGGCATATTATAATTACTTATGAACAGGATTACAAAGAACTGTTCCATTGGCTCTTGCTTCCATTTCACTTATAACTATTCACCAATATACAAGAAAAGTATTTTGTTATATGAATACATATCGAAAAGACCTAACAGGCCAGTTAGCAAAATTTACTGTTAAAAAATATTATTCATACCGTCAAGTTCCTAACTCAATTTTACAATCAATTGATAATTAAATAATATAAAAAGAAAAGAAAAAAATTAATAAATAAAACTAAATATCAAAAGTAATTTTTTTTTTTATAAACTGTTTCAGAGACAATATTTTTTTAAATAATTGATGTCATAAGAATACAAATCAACCAATAAATGATATAAAAATCAATTACAGGTATCACATGTAGGATGATAAAATATATGGTTTAATAATAAAGTGGTTCAACTTTAAATTACTACTACTCCGTGAAAAATTAGTTTATAGAAAATTTAAAACTGTAGGGTGATTGAGCTTGATCTATATTATCATCTCAAGATTTTATTTTGTATTTACTTTCTTTTTTAAGCAAGGAGTAATGATTTGAATATTGTTAATTTTATTTGTTGGAACTAGTATGTACGTACTATATCTTAAGAATTTTTAAATTAAAATCTGATCTATTATCACGTATTTATTATTTATTTTGTATATATATATAATGTACTTGTTTATTGTTTGTTATTCTCATTTTTTTTTATTTTTATTATTTGTTTCTCACCATGTCTAATTGTGATTATAAAATTATAACAAAAGTACTTGTAGTATTAAATGCAATTAGTAATACAAGTCGTAACTTAGATAAAGTTAGTGTGTAAGTAATAAAAGATATTATTTTATTTTTAGAAAAATACAAGTAACATATTAATTGTTATTATAGCAAATTAGCCTACTTATAAACAAAGAAAAGGAAAATCTTCAGGAAATATGTGAATTTACAAATTAAAAAAACAAATAAGAAGAATATCTGATAAAACTCATCATTATATAATATAAATAATTTATATAATTAATATATTTATGTAATAATATAATTAATATTAATTAAAAATAATAATAACCAATGTGTGACATATATAAAAAAGTTGCTGATTTATCTAAAAGTTTTCATGCACAGAAAGTACAAATTATTTATAATGTAATTAAAAAGATAAATCTATATATATATTAGTATTTCTTTATATAAATAAAATAAATTAATTATTATTAGTTTCAAGAAATCAAATTCTGATTTTTTATCTTCAGAGAGAGATTGGATTATTAGAAAAATAATGATTTTATATATCCAATATGCATGTAAATTATATGTGTTGCCCAAATCACAAATTACTAATATTTGAGATTTGGGATTTGGGATTTCAGCAAAAAATACTAATCATAATTTGAGATTTGGAATTTGGGATTTCGGCATTTGGAATTTTAGCATTTGGATTTTGAATTTGGGTAACAGGTATAATGTAAATAATCATTTATATTTATTTTTTATTTTTATTTAATTTACTAACTATTAATATTTATTATTAACTATTTAAGACTATTTTTAAAATAAAGAAAAATATAAAAAAACTTTAGATGTTTCTCCTAACATTGAAAATGATTTAGATAATATTGAAAATGTTGAAAATAGTTTAGAACTAAATAATAAAAGAAATGAAAATAACAATAAAAATGAAAACAATAGTGGAAATAATTGTAAATATAATAGATAATTTTTATATAATTTTATGTATTAATAATTAATTTATTTATTAATAATTATATTTCTTTTATATTTATAGATAATAAAAATATTATCCAAAAATCTAAATATATTAGAAACAGAAAATAGTTTTTTACCTTATGTAACTTTTTATAAAAAATAATAAATAAAAAATTATATCTAAATTCCTAGTTGTGAAAAAAATATTAAGTTTTAATTTAATATAATCATTGTATAAGAAAATTGAGAGCTTTATTTAAGTTTCGCAAAATCATAAGTTTTAATTTGGTTTCATAAAAATTTTTTTAATATTGAGTTTTAATTTAAGGTATGTATACTTTAATTTAAATTAATTTTATTGTATAATTATATATTTAAATTAATATATCAACTTTTGTGAAAATCTTAAGCTTTAATTTAAAGCACTGTTAGTCTTATTTCTTTAATTCTTATATATATTTATTATTAATATTATTATATTTAATAGCATATTTTATTAGTTAGATTTTTTTATTTGTATAACATTTATATTGGTACTATTATTTACAAGTAATAGATGTAGATTATTGTAATACAAGGTTGACATCTCTAGTTGACACCTTTGGTTAATACCTCTAGTCGTCACCTATACGTGTTGCCCAAATCCCAAATCATTTAGGATTTGGGACGCCAAAATCCCAAATTACTAGTATTTGGGATTTGGGATTTGGGATTTCAGCAAAAAATACTAATCATAATTTGGGATTTGGGATTTGGGATTTTGGCATTTGGGATTTCGGCATTTGGATTTTGAATTTGGGTGGCAGGTATATCGTCACCTCTGATAAATACCTTTAGTACAAATAACTTATTAGTCAAAAATAGCTCATAGAATATCCCAGAATATGATAAAAATTTCTGGAGTTTTCTTGAGATTAGTAATCATAGTCTTATGACAGGATGGCAATTTTGTATAAATAGAGGTAGCTTTTGTCTTTAGAGTTAGGACAGTTAGAATTTAAATATATTCTGAACTCGATATATATAATAAATTATTAATAAAAGTCTTCGTGACAAATAATAATTTGAAACGTTTGAATTCTTAGTGAAATACTTTGATAATAATACTCTACTTTATGATCTTGGTATTATTTTGTTTATAATTAACCTTGCTTTGTGATCTTGATTAATTATCTTAATTCCGTGTAAATTCTTGTAGTTTCTATATAAAACTGATAATATTCTTTGTGAATATCTGTTAACTTAGTATAAAAACTCAATACCTCTTTAAAATTCTTATAACTTAACCTCTTTCAAACAAATCTGTAACATTAAATCCTTTACTCCTTATACCTTTCTATAATATAAAACCTTCTAACTTTAACATATTTGTCTAATTACTTTGTAATCTTTTAGACAATAGTTTTCATATTATTAGTTGTTAGTTAATTGTGTTTAGTAAAGGTAATCATGATCAACAATTTGGTGATAACTGTAAGATTCGATAATTTTATTTTTCTCTAATATTCTTTATGAGAGCAAAGGCATGAAACGCTTATATTGAAAAAGTCATTAAGTTAAAAGACCAAGTCATTTCTGAAATCATTGAACAAGAATTAGCCAAACAAGAAGAGGACCTTAAATATGAAACCTGTTATACTCTTAAGAACATAAATACTGTCAAAGACTATTTGAACCAAATTAAACATTACGTATGGGTTTGAGACAACATCTTAATAGATAATGGTCAAAACTTATTCAATATTTCAAAAAAAAACAAATGTAATTAGAAAGTTTCAAATAAAAAAGTAAATAATACTTATTGACATTTCTGAAATCACTTGTAACCAAATACAAATACCAATACACCATTCCCATCTATTTAATCTACACTTATTAGAAGATCACATTATCAACTATATCAAAATCGAGAAATCAATTGACTTAATTTCTCTTTAAGTGACTATTCACCTCAAACTTCACCTTCTTTAATATCTCAAAGTAATATATTAAGGCCTGTATTAACAGTCAAATTGATCCAGACTAAATCACCTTTACTACACAGTAACTCTTTCTCAAGTTCAAATTGAAGTATTTTTGAAATCAATAAAAGTGATAAAGAAGTTTATTGACTACTAGGTGAAGGATCTTGAACTAACAATAATTCAAGAAGTTACGAAAGACTTATTATACTAGGATCAGTCAACAATACTAAAAATAACACTTCAGAAACTAGCAACTTTTTTGAGTCTAATATTGAAATAAACAATTAAGATATCAACTCACCTCAAGATTTTGAACAGGAGGCTCTTGATAACTATCTTAATCAAATTATTCTTGATATTGAAAGTGACCACAATAGTGAATCTGAACTTGAACTTGAACCAGTACAAGAAATAATAGTCACAATAGTTAAACCTGCCAAATTCTACAGTTCCAGTAAAGAAGACTCGCAAGAATGATATAAAAATTTTATAATAACTACTTGTGCAAACGGATAGAACAATAACTGTAAAAAAGAAACCTTTGGAGCTTATCTATAAAAAGGATTTCAGAATTGGTACCTTGAATGGACTGACAACAATATACATACTTAAGACCAACTTTCAGCTACCTTTGTAATTAAATATTTAAACAACAATTTCTACGAACAATAGATCAAGGAGTTACAAGGCCTCAAATAATATAAAAGCGAAACTGTTGAAGACTACTATTATTAAAAAAGGCAAATGGCTACTTGAGCTGAACTAAATATTGGCACTACTTTTTTTTTATTTTATTTGAGGGCTACTATCTGAGATCAAAACACATAATCCTGCTGACTTATCTGAAGCCTTAACAAAAGCTAAATTATATGAGTCTAGAAAAATGGAGATGAAAAAGTTCTGCAAAAAGTACTGGGAATACAAAAGTTCCAGTAACGAAAGTTCTGATAACTCAAGTGAAGAGGAAAAATCTAACAAGAAAAATAAAAATAAAAATAAAAATAAATTCCCTAGTAGTGACAAAATGAGTGAATTGACTAAATGGTTTAATAAGTTATAGATTAATTTAATACAACAAGTTGAAGAGTTATCAAAAAAATTAGATACCAGAATCAAAGATGAACTAATAACTCCTGTGAATATTTCAGAAATAATAATTTTAACAATGACAATAATAATAATAATAACAATAACAATTATAATAATAACAGTGGTCCATGTAGATGTTATAATTGCAATGAGGTTGAACATTTTGTTTATGATTGTTTAGTTAAAAAGAAGCCTTATCTCCAAAATCAAAATAGAAGAAATATCAGTTATGTCAAATATAATAATGACAATGATGACGAATGCAAAGTCTATGAAACTATACAAAACAAGACTAATATCTAAACTACTCCTCTACACAAACTAGATAACTAAAAAATTCTGTACCTCCCAAAGCTACACCCATTATTAATGTTAATAATTAATAACCTAAAATTTTAGTTGATTTTGAACAAGACCCTTATGAGGATGAACCTATGTAAGAAGATTTATCTAAAATAAATCTAAAGACTAAAAGTGAAAAGAAGTCTAGAATGAAATGACAACTGTCTGTTATCGACTAGTTGATCTCATATGATATTTCATAAGACATACTTTACATATAGTCCAGTGTTAAAATAGGACAACTGTTAAAATACCTTAATCAAAAGAAAAACTTAACAAAAATTTTAAAATAACCTATATAACAAAAAGAGATTAATCATGTAGAAACTGTTGAAGTCAAACAAACTATTGTAGCTAAATATTATGTACGAATTGGAAGGAACACTGGTTGAAAATTAATAAATAATACACATATCGTGTACTCGATATGTGCATGGTGCATCCCTAATATTGGGTACCTGATATGTGTAGAAAATATTTTATATATACATCGGGTACTCGATAAGTATAAAAAAATATTTTTTACACATATCGGGTACCTGATATATGCCTGATATTAGGGACGCACTATGCACATATCGGATACCCGATATGTGTATTATTTATCAATTTTCAGCCAGTGGAACCTTGTAATTGCTGTACTTGATTCTGGTGCTACTGTTAGTATCATTACTAACAAGTTACGAAAAAATTAAAACTTATTATTAATGGTCTATTGAAGGTTGTAGTTATCACTACTAATAGAATTAGACAACATGCTTTAGGACAAATTAACTATGTTCTTATAGATATACAAAACTTACTAGATCCTATAAAGTTACAAGTTATTGAGTCTTCTG